ATGCTGAAAATTCAGCTTTGCATCACAGAAATTACATTTTAAAATGTATTCAAATAGAAAACAGCTCTTTTAAATGATCGTAATATTTCACAATATTACTGTATTTTTGATCAAATAAACGCAGCCACTTCCAAAAAACGTATAAAATCGTAATTTATCCAAACTTTTGACATATACAATACATGTGCTTAATCGTGTAGATGAAGAGTGCAACTAGAGTGAGCATATAACGTGAATAGCTGCAATAGGATAAGTGATTAACAAGTGAAAAAATAAAATGCAGCAAGTGCACTAAACAACATATGGTGCATTTGTGAGTCGCTTTTAATGATGCAAAAAGGCAAAGCCTCTTTTAAAAGATTTCGACTATTTTGGGGGCAATGAGGTGAATTGCTGAACATCCCAACGACCCAAAGTCCTCCTTCATCTTCATCGATTTTCTAAGGGGAGGGTGCTGCTCCTGCCTCGCTGACAAAGTAAGCCGGCGTATAAATACAACAGGACAAGAACGCAGCTATGCCCTCACCACACCACCTATTCACAAGCACCATTCACCATGGACATGATAGTGACCTCCCGCAGAAGGGCTCTGGAGACACGGACTATCCGGCCGCAGTCCTCCACTATGCGCTCGTGGGCTAAATCCAGTCCTCTGTCTTTCAAAAGATCCACAAATGTGGCCGCATCCAGGGCTGCGTACAGCCCCGCCGTGCTCGCGTCTCCGGAAGGGTTCGAGTTAAGCGCGGCGCTCAGTGGAGATCCGGTGCGCAGTAACGAGAAGGAGCAGCTCCAGGGGCTCAACGACCGCTTCGCCAGCTACATCGACAAGGTTCGCTTCCTCGAGGACCAAAACAAGCAGCTGGAGGCTGAGATCCAAGCGCTAAAGCAGCAGAACTTGCCGCAGTCCATGCAAAGCGATGCGTACGACCGCGAGCTCCAAGACCTGCGCTGCGCCCTGGAGCAACTCCACAAGGAGAAGGCGCAGATGCTGCTCGACACAGACCACATGGATGAGGATCTGCAGCGGTTCCGAGAGCGCTACGAAGATGAAGCCAGGCTCAGAGGGCACATGGAGTCTGCGATCCGGGGAATGAAGAAAGACAAAGACGACTCGCTTCTGATGAAGCTGGAGTTGGAAAGGAAAGTCCAGGCGCTCGTGGACGAAATGGACTTCTTGCGGCAGAACCACGAGGAGGAGATCAGCG